CCACCCCATCGTGAGCAGGGACACCTTCCACCAGACCAGGTTGCTCCAATCCCCATCCAACCTAGGCAGACCTGCATGCCCATCCCAGGATGATCCTCCAGAACCATCCTGGGACGAAACCTGGCCAGAACCACCATGCCAGGGTCTGCCAGGAAACCCATCCCAGACCGTACCCCACAGCCAGGCTCCTGCAGACCCCCTGTCCCCCCGCAGATCGAGTACCTCTCGGGTGGGACGCCCCTCACCAACCAGCACTACATCGCCAGTCCCCACGGGGAGCTCTACGGCACCGACCACGGCATCCCCCGCCTGCAGGCCGAGGCCATTGCCACCGTGCGGGCAGACACGGCCGTGCCCAACCTCTACCTGACAGGTGACAGGGCCACCAGTGTCCTCACTCGAGGCCAGCCCCGGGGAGCGGGATGTGGGCGGAGAAAACCTCCAATCCTGAAGCGGAATAAGGGGAAGAGCCGCTGGGAGCAGCGGGATAACGCCTGGAAAAGCAGAGTTCCACGGTGCCAGGGGAGGAGGGAAGGGCTGTGCTCCCCCAGCTCTGGGAGGTTGTCTCCTTGCCCGGTGTAGAATGGAGAGTTCCCATCTGGGGAAGGTGGGGCAGGATGAGGAGATCCTGCTGGAGACAAGGAAGGTCAGACAGGGCAGGGTGTGTGGGTTCAGACCCCGGGGATGGTGTGGGGGCATCTGGAAGGTGATGCCCAAACCACCACTGATGGTTGGCTGGGGTGGAGTGAGGAGTGAGGGCTGCTCACAGGGCTGCTCATCTGCTGCTCCCTCCTTTCAGGGCAGGATTTGTGCCTGGGGGGTTTCATGGGAGCCCTGCAAGGAGCCATCATCTGCGCCAGCACCATCCTCAAGCGCAACCTCTACGCGGACGCGGCGTGGCTGAAGATGCGCCTGCAGGCCACCAGCTCCAAGAAGGGAGACTAGAGCCTGCCATGCCACCAGCAGGACGCCCTGCTCCCAGCACATCACCCCCACCTCGCTCTCAGCTGTCACACACCTGCAGCAGACCCGTCTCTACGCCAGGCTGAGGGATTTCATCCAGGACGACGCCGTTCCCACTCCCAGATTGAGTTGGACCTCACCCCCACCAAAAAAACGCACCCCCTTCCACCATCATGTCCAGTGCTGGTCCCTGGCCATGAAGGGAGCTCCCCAAAAGCTGGTGTGGCCAGGAGAGAAGTCAAGATAACCCCAAAACAGGCGGCACCAGCAGCTCCCACGGTACCAGCAGCTCCCGTGGCTGCTTGATCCCACCAGGACCACTGACCCCCGCCAAAGCCCACCTCCACCTGCAGCCCCCCCCCAAAGCCCACCTCCACCTGCAGCCCCAGAGCTGTCTGAGAGCAGCAGGCTCTCCAGGGCTTCCAGAGTCATCCCTGGGAGCAGCAGGACCCCAGCCTCCCAGTATTCCCAGTGTTTGGGTGCTGCTCTCCCCCACTGCCCCAAGGCATCCATGGCACAAGCTCACACTCCTCCAGCAGCAACAAAGTCCTTCTGTCTGCTGGTAAAAGCTCGGGAACAGGATGAAAGTCCGCTCCAGATGGGAAGGGAAGCACGTGAGACTGGAAGTAATAAAATAATGATCATGATCCTGGGATTTGTGCCTCGTGATGGGTCAGTGGGGCATGGAAGGTGGAACGGGAAGGGAGCTGTGGCTCAGAGCCAATGAACTGACACAGATACTCCAGGTTTGGTCACAGGAGAAGTGCCCAGTGCTCACCAAAACCCCCTGACACATCTTTCCAGGTAAAGCAGCTGCTGGATGAGAACTTCCCACTTTTTGCTAGGTTTGGGCAGAATTGGACTGGCTCAGCATGAGGCTTTCAACTGCTGCCAGTTAAATCTGGTTTAATTGTGGGTTTTGGTCCCTCCTTGATCACTTCCTCACTCCCTAGCTTCCCACCGCTGCCCTCCATCCCAATTCTTTTATGCTCCATGCCTCTTTTTTGGTGCTTTCCCTACAGGCGTCTCTCCCTCAGAGTCCAGCCTGGGTCATCCCCAGTGTCCCCATCTCCCCGGTGGTTTGTACCCTTTGGAGCTGGGCTGAAACCACACCGTGTGCCCTGACACAGGACATCACTGGCAGCAAACTTTCCTCCCAGACACCAGCCAGACACGGATGAGCTCATAAGAGTTGGCCTGAAATGGCCCCAGGGTGACATCTGGGGACAGCAGCCCCAGGGCAGGGCTGGGAGAAGCCCAGCTGGGAGCTGCTGCTGGAGCAGGAGGAAAACAAAGCCCAGAGCTGGTTCCTGAGCAGGGAGCAGTGTGACCGTGCTGGAAAGGAGCCCTGGAAAGGGGCTTGAAGGCTGATCTGGCAAAGAGGATTAGATCACTGAGCAGAGAGATAATTCGGTGATGGGATGGAATTTGCAGAGAAGGTGAGCTCTGCCAGGAGAGATCACCCAGAGGCAGCCCCTTGAGGAACCCAGGGCCACAGCAGTGAGCTGGGGAGGCTGCTCTGGGCACCTTCAGCCCAGGTGAGACCCCACCTGCTCCTGCAGAGCTCCCCCAGCTCCAGCTCCAGCACCAGAGGGATGTGGAGCTTCTGGAGTGAATCCAGAGGAGGCCATGGAGCCAGGCTGGGGAAAATGGGGGTGCTCACCTGGAGAGAAGGTTCCAGGGAGAGCTCAGAGCCCCTTCCAGGGCCTAAAGGGGCTCCAGGAGAGCTGGAGACAAGGCATGGAGGGACAGGACACAGGGAATGGCTCCCACTGCCAGAGGGCAGGGATGGATGGCAGATTGGGAATTGGGAATTGTTCCCTGGCAGGGTGGGCAGGCCCTGGCACAGGTGGGATTGGGTCGTCTGTAAGGTCTCTCCCAAGCCATGCCCAAACAGGACAAAGCAGGGCCAAGGTTCCTGTCCTTCCTCTCACCCTGCAGGCTGTGCATCCCTTCTCCTGCAGGCTCCTGGAGGGTGGGGACGAGGCCCTGCCTCGCTCCCAGCCTGCTGCAGGCATCTGCTCTCCCCAGGACAGAGGGGCAAAACCAGCAGCAGCTCCTTCCCTGCCACCCATGGAGAGCAAGGGACAAGTTACAGGAAAACCAACCAAAAACTCCTCTGGGAAGGTGAGGGGCTCAACCTGGAGGCACCAGAGATGCTGGGGGGAGGGTTTAACCAGCCAGGTCCTCTTGCCAGGGACCCTCTGCAGAGCAGAACATCTGATTTAGGCCCAGAACAGTGCAGTGACACCCAACCTTCCCCCCAGCAGCTCCCAGGAGACCCAAACCTGCCTCTCCTCCTGCTTTTCTCACCCCAAAGAGCTCCAGCCTTGCAAATGCCATCTCAGTCACTCTGGTGGTTTTTTAATCCAAACGAACAGTCCCAGGCCCTGGAATTTGTCATGCAGAGGCAAAGCTGATGTGTTTGCTTGGCTGGTGCCCTGCCCGAAAGGAAAATACCTGCTGTGAGACCAGCTCAGGCTCACCTGTTTGCTCAGGAGGCCGTGCAAGACCCAAAGCTTTCAAGAGAAGATGAGATAAAAAACACCCGGGGTGGTTAACGGGGTTTGCAGGCTGGGCTCACTGGGGTGCAGAGTGGATGTAGCAGCATTTCACAGAGCCATGGGATCACCTGGGTGGGAAAAGCCCCAAGACCACCAAGTCCAACTGCCAAGGCCACCACCAACCCACATCCCCAGGTACCACACCCCCAGAGCTGCCAAACCCTCCCTCAGGAATGGGGTCTCCACGCCTGCCCAGGGCCTGGACTGCTGTTTCCATAGAGGAACTTTCCAAAATCCAACCTGAACCTCTCCTGGCACAGTTTGAGGCCGTTTCCTCTCACCCTGCTCGCAGAACCCAGCCCCCACCTGCTGCACTCTCCAGTGCAGGAGCAGGAGGGTTGAAGGGCACGGCGCCAGCCCCGTGCCCAGTTTCGCCCAGTTTCGCCCAGTTTCTCATGCATGAAGCCTCCTCCACCCTCAGGGCCTCTCTGCTAAACTGCCTCTATCAGAATGTCTCAATCCTGCCCCGATAAGCAGAGCCCAGCCCAGCTGGCAAAGCATTTCTGATTTTATTTGACATTATTTCCACCCACGGACTTTGACTCCTGGGCAGTCACCCCCACACGACCCCAGGGGCACTCCCAGCCCTGGGATGCCCCAGTGCCTCCTGCACCAGGACAGGACCGAGGGGCTGTTCCTGCCCCACCACAGCTGCCCTGCCTGCCAGAGTGTGCTGGGGCCTTCCCAGACCGGGGAGAGCAGGCAAGGGGCTCAGCGAGCTCGTGGAGCACAAGGCAGTGGGTTTTTTGGGAAGTCACCCTAAGGACACAGAGCAGAGCGGAGCTCTGAGCCCCGTGCAGCAAGGGGGATCTCCAAGGTCTCTTCCAACGCCACATCCCCATGGGAATGTTCCTCTGAGCTCCCATTTTCACCCTTTTTTCCGCCTGCAAGCTGCCAGGAGCCCCATCCACACCCTGGCCCTTTGGCCACTGCGGGACTGGAGGAGCGAGAGGAAGGCGGGATTTCCTCCTGTGAGGGAAAGGAGGCGGGGGAAAGGAGCGACTTTCATCCATTCCCGGCAGGAAAACTGCCCGGAGTTCCCGCAGCATCCACAGGGGAGCGGGCACCTTCTCCTCCCTCCCAACCTGCCAAGCTGCTGCTGCTCCGAGGAGCTGGGACATCCTGGGACTGCCCCGGGGGCTCTCTGCAGGGGAAAGAAGAAATCCAGGAGAGCTCAGGACTAAGCTCTGTGCAAAGTTTAATCCCCTCTTGGGCCCTGAGCTCCCAGCACGCAGAGCCAGCCCCGGCTGGGCTGGCTGGGCCCTGGGAGGCAGACTGGAAACTTCCAATCCGCCCTGGCCCGGCCTGTCTGGGCTCCTTCCGCCTGCACCCGCAGCCCTGAGCACAGCCAGCTCCACGAAACCAGGGGTTTGCAGCAAAAAGGGGTTTTGCATAAAGAGGAGCCACCCTGCACCTTTGGTGCCAGGTGTCGACCAAAACCATGCAAAGAACGTGAGGAAAACAAAACCAAGAGAGAAGTGAAAACTCGACCTTTTGGGTCTTTTTTATTCCATTTACTGATTTCACCACACAGAAAATAAAAAACCAGTACAAAGAACTGTAAAAAATTCTGATCCTTCCAAGCAAAGTGCATTTCACTGCCGCAGAAAACAAATCATGTGCTGATTCAAGCCTAAAAAGTAGGAATATTTGGCAAAAAACCCTCTGTACCAACAGACACCATCCATGGAAAACACGTGTCCAAAGGGAAAAGGTGCACCTTGATCCCTTGGGGACACGTTGCATAAACACCATAAAACTCAAGGAACTGGGAGCAATCCCCAGAGCTCTAGGGCAGCCCAGACTGTTGGCAGAACACACCAGCCTCGGGAAGTGCTGGTGGGGAGAATTTGGGGGAAAACCCTGCAATTCAGCCTGGTGTGAGAGCTGCCTCTCCCCAGACCCGAGAGGTGTGTCCTCATCACCTTCAGGAATGCTTGGCTCAGCCTGGGATCGAGGTGATTGAGGTCCAAAATATTCCCTCCCCTGCTGGCAGCAGGGTGGGATTCCCACAGCCTGCAGCAAGAGAGGGCTTGAAACAGCTCCCAGGACAGAAAAGTAAGTAGATGGTGAAAAAATAAAAAGCCTTTCTCAATTATTATTCATTAAAAAAACCCCACAAACCAGGACAAAGCAAGCGTAGATCACTCACACTCCAAAAAGCACACACACTCCAAAATCCTGACCAGAGCAGCCCAGGAGCACACGGAATTCCACACACTGGAAAAGGCTTTGTCTCCCTGCTGAGTCCAAAAAGCCAGTGTCCCCCTCCCCAGGCCCAAAGCAGCCCCCCAGCCTGGCTGATCCCACAGGGAGCAGGGTGGTTTGGTGCAGGAGCTTCCCACCCTTTTCCCCCAGAGTTACATTCCCAGCCCTATTTCCCTTCCCTCCACCCTCCTGCTCTCCAGAACAACTCCTGGAAGTCCTTTTAGCATCCTAGATGTTTCCTAAGGAAACTCTGAGGACTCTTTAAAGCCAGGAGGGACTCTCACGCTTGCCAAGAGCCAGCAAAAAGGGAAAGGATGGCTTTAGGGTTTGGAGAAGGCCAAGCCCTCCCTCCCCTCTCGGAATGAACCTTCAGGAAATCAGAAGCAGAGCTGAGCTTTCACAGTGACAGGGAATGGCTCTGCCCAGGGTGACCACGGGGCAAGGAGCTGACTGCTCCCAAGCCTGGGAGGCCAGGAAAAAGCCCCCCAGGAGGGAATTTAACCATCCTGGGGCTCTTCCCGTGCAGTCGGTGAGTGCAGGACTGGCACAGGCCTGGCACCCGATGTGGCACAGCTGGGTGCCCACGCAAGGAGCTCTGGGTCCCTCAAATCCTTTTTTTTTCTGGAAAAATCCAAAGCAGGAGCCAAGCAGGTACTCTGTGCCCTCTCCAGAACCATCCCAGCCCTTAGAAAGCTCTGCAGAGTACAACTGCAGGAATGAAAACCACCTCACAGGTGTAATGGGGCACCAACCCCTTGGTCTGACCAGTACCAGTCAAACACAACTGGAGGGACTGGGAGCTTCCCTCATCCCAAACTCCTCAGGGATTTACATTCCTTCCTTCCTGACAAGGGGAGGAAACAATCCTCCCATCCAAATTCCTGACCCCAACAGGGCATGGAGCTCCCTGAGCCTGACCCCCTCCTCCACACCACCACCAACACCCCCTGTGCAGACTGGGAGGGAAAAGACCTGCATGGAACACGAGGGGTTTGAGCTACAAAAGCTGCTTCAGCATGGCCAGAGGTGTGTGTGAAAAAGGGAATCTGCGTGTGAAACTGGAAAACTGGTCAGGGAGAGAAAACCCACGTCCAAATCCGTGCTGGGTCAGTTCCAAACAAGCGCAAGAAAACTCACTTGCTCTCAACCTGAGCATCCCAACCCAGCAGATGGACAAGGAGGGGCAGGAGGAGGCCAAGGCAGCTTCGTGCCCGGGCAAGGGACAGTCCCATGGCTCATTGTGCAGCAGATCCTTAATTCCCCCCCAAAAGGAGGGGTCAGTCCAGCAGATGGCAAATTCCATTGCACTGGGACACAGAAATCCTGGGTCTGGCTCTTCCAGCAGCCAGACACCCAGGGGGAAAACAAGGCAGCTGGGAAAGGAGCAATTTAGGGAAGTGAGAGGTTTTATCAAGGTGCAGGTGCAAAACAAAAAGCGTTTCCCCTCCTTCCCGTGGAATCCAGCTGTGGCAGCAATGAATCCCCACCATCATCTGAGGAGGAATCTAGATCTGGAAAGGCAAAAGGAAAGGTTGGAACCACCTGAAAGCTCAGAATTGCTCTGCTGCTCTGTCCAGACCTGAGTGGGCTGAGAAGCTCCCAAAGCAAATATGAGCTTTTGCCTTTTCTTCCTAACTCTCCTCTTCCTACAGCAGAAAACAATTACAGGCACCTCTGCCCTGAGTGGCAAGAGGGGGAACAAAGTTTTAAGGGAGAGAAGAAAGGGATTTCTCCACAAATCCTACCCTCTGCCACTAAAATGCTCTCTGACAAGTTGTTTGGATCAGTGACAAAGTCATTCAGCCCAGCTGGAGATTGTCCCATCTGTGCTCTGCCAGCACTTCTCACTCTCACTGTCTCCATTTCCTGGCAAAACCCTGTTTCCACACCAAACTCTGCTTTCCAAACTGCCTCAGCTGGGGCTCTGGGACCCTTTCTAATGCAAAGGGCCAATATTTGGTATTTTCCACACACAGCAGGCACGCCAACCCCCACTTTGGGCTGGGTCTCACCTTTTGGTCCAGTCTCTGATAATCACCAGATTTGGGCCGTCGACCGGATTTTGACCTTTTTCCTTCCAGAGCGAAAGCAATGATCTTTGGAGAGAGAAAAACGGAGACAGAGTCAGCTTCCAACACAGGCTCACCTCTGATTTTTCATTCACCTGCTCCCACAACCCTTTTCCTGTGACCAAGCACTTCAAACATGGAAATGCCAACACTCAACCATTGCTAAGATGGATAATGAGGTTTGCTCAACAAGCAGAAAACAGTAGGAATTAATTTTTTTTTTGTACTCCCTCAAAACCAGCCTTATGTGAGGGAAAACAACCCTGATCTTGTGTTGGTGTACAACAGACTGTCAGCAGGAATCTGTCAGAGATGAGATGGAGGGATCTCACACCACTCAGGTGAAAATCAGCAGCAGAGCTGAGAACACCCAGCTCCCACCAGATCCAACCCTCCCTGGGACCACACGCACACAGAGCAGACTGGGGGGTACTGGTGAGAAGCCAGTCAGGGTGAGGGGAGAGGGCCGGGCAGGTCCCTCCCAAGCCCGGGGCTGGAGCAGGGCTGCTCACCTTGCGCTTGTTGTGGTAGGCCACGTACAGGGCTGCCACCACGACCGCCGTGGTCACCAGGTAGGCAAAGAAGTGGCTGCTCTCCGAGCGGGCCCTGGGCAGGGAGGGAGCGTTCTTCTCCCTGTCCTGCTCCAAGGAGCTCTCACTGCCCTCCTCAGCCTTGGCCACATCCTCCTCGGCGTTCTCTTCGTCTTCCACAAAGCTGTCGTCCGAGGGAGCTGCGTGTGAGCCGGGGCTCTGCTCCTCCTGCGAGTTCTTCGGGCTGTCCTGGGGGTCAGGCTGCTGGCCAGCAGCACTGCCCTGGCTCTCAGCCTGGGCCTGCTGCCCACCCCCGCTGGTGTGCCCGGGGCTGGCCTCGCTCCTGTCCCTGCCACTGCTGCTCTGGGTGTTGTCCTGGGCCTGCTTGTTGCTCTGGTCCTTGTCCGTGTTGTCTGGGGTGTTGCTGCCATTTGTGCTGTCACTCTCCTTGCCATCCTTGCCCTTGCTGTCCTGGTTGTTGCTGCCCTGGTTGGTGCCCTGGTTCTGGTTGGTGCTGCCCTGGTTCTGGTTGTTGCTGCCCTGGTTCGTGCCCTGGTTCTGGTTGGTGCTGCCCTGGTTCTGGTTGGTGCTGCCCTGGTTCTGGTTGGTGCTGCCCTGGTTCTGGTTGTTGCTGCCCTGGTTCGTGCCCTGGTTCTGGTTGTTGCTGCCCTGGTTCGTGCCCTGGTTCTTGTTGGTGCTCTCCTGGTTCTGGCTGTTGCTGCCCTGGTTCTGGTTGGTGCTGCCCTGGTTCTGGTCGGTGCTGCCCTGGTTCTGGTTAGTGCTGCCCTGGTTGGTGCCCTGGTTCTGGTTAGTGCTGCCCTGGTTCTGGCTGTTGCTGCCCTGGTTGGTGCCCTGGTTCTGGTCGGTGCTGCCCTGGTTCTCGTTGGTGCTCTCCTGGTTCTGGCTGTTGCTGCCCTGGTTCTGGTCGGTGCTGCCCTGGTTGGTGCCCTGGTTCTGGTTAGTGCTGCCCTGGTTCTGGTTAGTGCTGCCCTGGTTCTGGTTAGTGCTGCCCTGGTTCTGGTTAGTGCTGCCCTGGTTCTGGTTGGTGCTGCCCTGGTTCTGGTTAGTGCTGCCCTGGTTCTGGCTGGTGCTGCCCTGGTTCTGGTTGGTGCTCTGGTTCTGGTTAGTGCTGCCCTGGTTGTTACTGCCACTTGTGCCATTCCCCTCCTTGCCATCGCCGCCCTTGCCACTGCTGCCGCCGTTCTCGGTGGCCCCTGGCTGGTTGCCACCCTGGCCGTTCTCGCTGACACCGTTCTGCACGTTGTTGCTGTTCTGGCTGCCACCCTCACCGCCCTGGCCACCAGTGCCACTGCTTGGGCTGCCACTGTCTCCAGCGCTGCTGTCGTGGCCACTGCTGCTTGTCTTGCTTTTACTTCCTTGTCCTGCGCCTCCTGCACCACTGCTTCCACCATTGCCGTCCTGGCCAGCCGCCGTGCTTCCGCTTTTCTCTGACTCCTTCTCCTCCTTGTCCTTGTTGTCGCTGCCGTTTCCAGCGACGCTGTTGTTCTGCTGCTCGGTACCCGTCTTCTCATCCACGCTGGTCGCGCTGTTCGTGTCAGTTTTGGGGTCGCTGCCGTTGGAGTCACCGCTGTCCTGCTGGTTCCCGTTCCCCGGGGACGTGCTGCCGTGGTCCTGGCTGCCAGCCGCTGCGGCTCCCTCGGGCACGGTGCCAGATTTCCCTCTAGTGCCCGTTTGGTCTCCGTTGGTCTCGGTTTGCACGGGCTCTGCAGCGATAACGGGGAGCCCCGTCAGTCGGCGCTGACGGGCAGAGGGGAACCCCTGCGGAAGAGGGGGCACGCCGCAGGAGCCGGGGGGAACCTCGGGGCAGACGGGACCGGGGGTTACCGAGGGCGGCGGGGAACCCCGGCTGACCGAGCGCACGGGCGGAGGAGGCCTCCAAACCGAGCGCGGGCCCTGACCCACCCAACTCCCCCCCCCCCAAGGGCTTCGCGGCCGCCTCCCGCCCCCGCCACAGCCCCCGGCCCGGCGTACCGGCGGCGCAGAGCCCCAGCAGCAGCAGCAGCACCGGGAGCAGCACCGGGAGCAGCGGCCGCGCCCGCGGGGCCGCCATGGCGGACGCGCCCTCAGCGCCGCTTCCGGGCGCAGCTCTCGCGAGACGAGGCGCGAGAGCGGCGCGAGGGGGCGGGGCGCGAGCGGTTGGGCGGGGTCTCGGG